GCCTAACAAAATTACTTGTTATAGATCAGCTATTCAACAATTTATCAGGTGTCCTAATTTGTAACAGAGCTCAACAGCAACAGTTCCTATTTATTTCAGTAGGAGTTGTGTAATTCAACAGTTTGTATGATTAAACAAGCAATGTTTAAAAATGGTCACTGCTAGCTGCTTCATGCCCTTCTCTATTTTCATTAGGTGTTAATATTAAGCAAAGAAGATCAGAAATGCATCAAAAATCTTTTGTTATTCCTTTAGATCCTTTAACACTTTGGTATTCCTGGGTCTTGAATGTTTCTCTCCAAGATATCAGCTGTCCTCCATTATTGGCTTCAATAGTGGTGTTTCTCCTTAGTATTTTAGTCTTGCTGCATTTATTACAAGAATGGGTAAATAGAGTAGTAAATGCAACACAATAAATGTTTATATGTCTAGGTTATGGTCTCCTGTTCTATTTTTACCCAACTAAAACTGCTTATATTCTCTTTCCACTACCTACCTTATATTGCACCCATCTACCTATAGATTCTTCATGCTCCTTAGGGCCCTCCCGTTTTTATTTAAGAAAATAAGAACACATTACCTCAGTCTTTAGTTGAAGTAAAATCATCCAAATCAGTGGTTGTTATATGCCTCTTGCTCACTATGACTGTGGCCACTGCTGGTAGAGGTAGCAGAAGCTGCAGTAGCAACAGCTTTCAGTATTGGCCAGGACAAGGTGTTTGACTACTCAGGAATTATTTAGCCAGCACTTTGCTATGGCATATTTATATTAGAATCTGGGAATCTCAATCTAGGTCTTCAGCACAGCATGAGTTCCAAAAGCATCTCTCCATTTCTGAGCACTTCAGAAAGCTGCATCTTGATCACAGCATCTCTTTCTTTAAGATTCATGTCTGTCACCTATGAGGAAGGAAAACAATCTTTTGAATGACTTCGAATATATGTGCCTTAATAATTTTTTAATTCATTTTAATGTTCTAGAATAAAATTTTTCACCTACAGGATGCATTAAAAGCAACTTGGTTTGATATACTTATATTTGTGGGGTTTTTTTATAGCCTAAGGAATATGGAAGCAGTAGTCCTCATTATTTTATAAATTTCTTTTTGAAATCTACTGTGGATTTAATTTGTAGAACAGAAAATAAAAATGTTTTTCATCAATGCAGTTCTTCTAGAATATTCCTCCATTCCTTGCAAACTATGAAGCAAAGAACCTTAAAAAGAGGTACTGTATGTTTTACCTTAGTGACAGACGAAAATATGAAAGAAGGCAGCGTAACCACTTTTGCAACACATCTGTTAAGTGTTACACAACTATCATATCCATTCTTTTAAAACTAATTTTACAAAGAACAACTTAGCAATACACTGTGTTCTTATATAACAGTTAATTTTCCTGTACTGTGCTTCATAGTAAATTCATGCCAAAGTTTTTAGCATCATGCTATTGAATTGTTGTAATAACAACTCACCTTCTTTTTTATTTAGCTGGTTTTCACTGAGCCGTATTATTCCACACATGCTCTTCTTCTGGAAGTTTTTATTCCAGAAAGCCTTCGAAGAGTGGGAAGCTCTGAAGCTCTTGAAACTTATCTGGATGTAGTGTGCTTTCTTGTATGTTGGCTTTTACTGCTGCTCACATTCTTTTATTTCCGGGTAATCGGTGCAATGAGTTTGTCAGGTTTTCAGGAAAAGGCAATACACATTATCCAGAAATTGCAACACCGCATCAGTTCCTGTCGCATTTAACATTTTTTTTCCTCTGCTGTGTCTTAAATTAAAAATGCAATTTATGCATCAATATATTTTCTAGCAGATTTTGAAAATATTTGACGCTGTCAGAATTCCATTTACCTTGTAATGAGTACTGAAGTTAGTTCTTTGGGTCAAGACAGAGATATTATTACAGATTCTTTTGTGTTCCTGTACCCTTTGAGATATATTTGACATTCTACTGAAACACGACATTTTTCTGCTGAGTTCATTTCTCTTGTGGCTCATGATGGGAAACATGGAAGCTCTTTTTTTACTTTACATTTTTCAGTCAGTTTATTGAAAAGGCACTTGTTAGTTCCAAAGGCATGTATGAGAATTCCTCAGGTTTGCTAACCTGTTTTTTTCAGTTGCTCATTATTTTCTATCATTTCTCTCAAAATATGTTGGACTCAGTTTTCTGGGACATGAGCAATGATGATGAAAGAGCACATGAGCATAAAGGCTGAAAATACAATGAAACTACTTAAGTCACAGAATAGCTAAAGTTTAAGAGATCAACTACATACATATGGTTCTTTGTGACATTTAGTTCTCAAATCATAAAGTTTTTCTCAGCTTTCTAATCACGTTATCCATTCTCCCAAATAATTAAAGGTACTAATTTTGAGTTGCTGTGCAGAATTGAAGAGAATTCAGAGCAAACAATGCTTTCTTTTCTGATTGTTTTTGTTAAAGTACAGCAAAGCAGAAACCATACCAACTCTCCGACTACCACAAGGACAGAGCACAGTTACAGGCCACATAGGCATGCACATTAACCAACCCATGGGAACGTAGCAGGAGCTACAGCAATCAAATATAACCCAAGGCACATGCTCCAGCTCTGAGGCGCTTCAGCAAACCAGCATGACTGCTTTTAGCCACAAAGCCAAACACCTCGTTGTGCAGCACAGCACACAGCACCCCCAAGCTGCCCAGTACAATAGACACTCTCCCAACAGAGCACACACACACAACATGGCACTCCCATGTCTCCATCCAGCTTCTGTTTAATGTTTAAATCCGCCCTGATAACTTTTGATCACTTATCAAATGCTGTGTTTCATGAGTAGAAAGAAGATTGCAGCACCTGTCATCCCACTCTTGATCGATGCTACTCCTACGCTGGCCATGGTGGGATATCCCATGACCTGTAAAGTTGGTGCTCCCTACAGGGTTGTTAACTATGCCAGGGCCATTGCTTGCTTAACAGGTTCTGTAACAGAGTAGCATGAAGATGCAAATACCATAATAGTTCAAACTGCTTTTTCAATTCCCTCTAAAAGAATTAACATGTTAATGACATGGATGCTGTGCTTTGCATTTCTACTCCTACAGGTCTTTGCTCATTTATAAAAAGGAATAGTTAATCCTTCAAAAAGACATGAAATAAAAATTTTGTTCTCAATTCTGTATTTGTTTGGGTTATTCTGTGGAGTTAAATTGAAAGTATAACCTTTCAACAGGTATTTGTAGCATAGCATGAAAACTTAATGCAAATTTAATGTATAATCCTTCATTTGAGTTTTCATGGCAATTTCTTCAGTTGTCCTTCTGTAATGTTTCTATAAGGTGTGAGGAACAGTTTTACCAAGAAGTAAAATCTGCTGATTTATTTTGGTCAGGAGCCTCATTGCCTTTCTGAACTGTATTTATAGACATACAAAAAGATTCTCGGTTCTAATGTTGGTCCTAACATCCTTCCCTTTGAATGGCTGCAGCTTCCCTTTCCCCTGCTTTGTGGGCCCTACACCACTCCCCTCACTTCTTAGGCTCCTGGATGACAGTGGGTCTCAAAGTGGTGTGAGGAAAGGCCTCTGTTACCAGGTCTGCACCAGGCTACCATTAGTGGCTAGTAGGCCTGCTGGGAACAGGAACTATGCTGGGAAAATAGGAGTGAGGAATCATTACTGAGGGACACATTACTGGAATGATACGGGGTGAGGATTCAGTTGTCCTATGAATACACCAAGGCTGTGGACACACCACGACTACCACCCCCAAAAAGCAGGTAGGAATTAAAATGATAAAAGAGGTGAACAAAATCTCCCAGCAATGAAGAATGTGGCAGATTCAGAGGACCACATTCAAGGAACTCCCTCAGCAGACCATGTTACTGTCAGTCTCACAGCTTCCTTTCTCCCACTGCCCATTAGAGAAGAAGGAACAGCAGCTCCCATGAGCTGGGGAATACACGGAAGCTGGAAGGGGGGGTTGGGATATCAGACTGCAATACACAGGGGAAGCAAGAAAAGGACAGAATCCAGCGATGTTGTGGAAGCCTCCAGATCTTACCTAAGAGTCACTGGAATATTGCCTTGATCGCCACTGCAGAAACTGCTTCAGAGGATGAAAACCACTAGTTTAGAAGAAGGGAAATTTGGAAGGGGTTTTAACAGTGAAAACAACAGGGAGGGTTACCCCAGGGGACAGTGGATATCAGATGTTAAACAAGCATCTGATTATGCTGCACTGTAGGATACATCCATCTTACTACTAATACAGCTAATGCTCACATATACTAGTGCTGGTTTTCTCATTCTAATGTGTGTTAAATACAAAATGCACTAACCAGTACTGCTGGTGGTTACTCCTGCTCAACCCACAAGTAACACTACACAACTGGAGTGTTCCTTCCCTACAATTTTTTCAATAAAAATATCCCCCAGTTATGGATTTAATGTTCAATCCTAGGTATACAACCGGTTCTAGTTGATTTCCACTGAATTTATCACATGCCAGTAAAACACATGTTCTGTAAAAACGAATGGTATTATTTCCTTTTTTTTTCTACACACACAATTTTTCAGCCACTCTTCCACCAGCACACATGTTGCCTCCATCCTCTGCTCACAGATGGACCTCGTATTTTTCACTATTTACAAAAGGTTGGTAATCAGTCCTGTATGTGAAGTAAATGAAATAAAAAAGGTAAATGTACTCTGGCAAGTGTTTCTTAATCTGTTTCCTATCATGGGGGCCAGAAATGCATGTAAATCTCCCTGTGTCTTCAGAAAGTTATTTATATATTGGGACTGGCTGAATGCCCATTTCTTCATATCTTTCTGTCATTCATTAATTTTTTTCAGCAATAAACTAGCGTACAAATATGAATTACTGGCAAGCCTTAAAAATGTGATACATAACTATGAAGTTGCAGATTATAGACAGTCACAGCACATAGTCAAGAAAAACTGCAATGTTTGTTGCAGTGAATATGAACCCTGGGTTTTCACCCTTGTTAAAAAAAGTCAAATGAATTTTTATTTAAAAAAACATTATCAAAGACTGACTGAAGTAGAGGAATAACTGATGCCAATAATAATGTTGTCAAGGGGCGAGACAACTTCTTACAAAGGCAGATAATACGTAGTACTGACACTTGAGCAAGAATTTAGTAAGATGCTGTTTCCTTTTGAAAGGCTCCATGATGATACAAACTCCTTTCAAAAATATTTATGAAAAAAATGAAACAATTAGCTTGTTTTGCTAAATAAATCCTCAATGATGCAAATTTGACATTAATTTATCAGCGCTAACTTGATCTCAACTTTTTTCTATCCTCAAGTGTTAAAATTAAACCGCAGCCTCTAACACTTCCTGCACTTCCTGTTTGTCCTGTTACATCCTTGGTGGAGGTGTTGGGTTTGGGTTTTTTTATTCCAATCCTTAGTTTTAATTTTTGAATGGGGGGGACTATTTTCTTTGAAACCATTATTGCCAGCATCATGGAAATCAGTAAGCATACTTAGGCAAAAAACTCCTATCTAAACAACCTAACAAAAGAAAACACACAAATCAAAACCAGTTTGGTGCATGCTTCTTACTAAACCAAACGAGAATGGCTCCACAATTCTTAATGCAGTCCACAAGCAGGCACTTCCCTTTTGGACAATAAAGTTTTACATCTTTTTTGCCAGCGGTGAACTTTGCTTTTTAATATACTATATATTTCCCTGACACTTTGGCTAAAAGTAAAAGCTGCTGCAGTTTAAGTATGTTATTTAGATTTTTGATATAATGCAAGCCTGGACACACATATATTCCATTACCTTCTATCCATCTCATCACAATGGTAATGCAGAAGCAAGAATTGAGTCTCTCTCCTTCCATTCTGTACTTCGCTGGTATTTCCATCTGCTCTAAAAGGCTGTGACCAACTGTTCCACCTACTTTACTGTGAGTTTGCTTAAACATTACTCTTGAATGTCTTCATTTTCTTATGTCAGCTGGTGTCCTTATGACTGTTTCACAAGGGAGTCTGTATATTGTTATCTGAACTGCTTATCTAAATTAAGTTCAGCAATTCCTCTTGATTGTGACAGAGATAAACTGCTGGCTGATGTTTTTCAGGGGGGGAAATATTTTCTCCTGGGACTTCAAGGATATGGGAGACATACACTATATTACTGAAGTTCCAAGGATATGAAATAACACATAGCATTATGTAACAGAGGATCAAATTAACAGAGCGTACATTGAAACATCACAATCAAAATGCATAGTGAAATCATCTTTTCCCCCAATTTTTAAGACCTCTAATAGAAGGTCACAGCTAACCAGCACTTAAGACTCAGTCCTTGAAGTATCTGTAGGTGCTCAATGCCACACTGAAATTCCATAATCATTACAGATAGCATGCTCCTAAAGCTCTTGGCTACAGTATGCCACTAAACACGCTTTTTCCAAAATCAAAGATCCCAATTATCCACTGGAACGAAGAAAGAACCTGTAACAAGCAAGCAGGACCCTGTTCTAATTTTAAAATTATATAGCATAGATTAGTAGAAATAAAAAATATTTAAAAACAGATATTCCTTAAATCTTAGACTGCTTTTCAAAAAAGCTGTTCACTACTCTGAGCAATTTTCTTCTACTGAAAACTTTAAGGGACATAAATATAAATGAACACATAGAAAAATGCCTCAAAAACAGGGTCAGTCATGGAAGCTACTTTTGTCAGCACTACTTATGTAGTCCATTACATTTTCATTCACCATAAAATTTTATTAAGTCCTGTTATTTTTGTTGGTTTCTGGGTGTCATCAATTTTAATTACAATTGCTTTTTTTTGTTTTGTTTTGCTGAGTTTGAATATTTTTAACCTATCCCTTTTATCAACCAAAAAAAGAAATCAACTTAATTTCTGTCACAGTGTACTTACCATACAGCTACAATTCTCCACATAAATTAAAGCAAATTAAAATGTATTTTACATTAGATGAAAATGTGTAGAAAAAGATAAAGCTACAGAAACTGAAGCAGGCTAATTATAAACAAAGCTAACAGCTTAATCATAAAGCTTATCATAAAAAAACCAAAGACTAAGAATAAAAATCTTAACAATGGAAAACCCCCTGTTCTCTTATTCAGACCGTCACATGTAAACCCTTACACATTTCATAATATCTGCACACCTAAAATACAAATATTTAAGGCTGTTTGCCCTTGGCTTGTTCCTTGGCCATTTTAAAGTGCCCTAACACAGTCTCAAAATTCTGTTCCATACCTTTAAGGGAAGAAGAAACTGTATCAACCTACTGAAGACTTTTTTTTTCTTTTTACTCTACTCTCCTTCTGCTTGGGTTAAATATTCAAGATTAGCATAAAGAACATAGAATTGTCCCAGATATTAGTGCTATTACTCTTTCCTGCTGCTTATGTTGATGACACTATATGGCCAACAATCCTATAGTTACCTGTAATATACATTACATCACTGATTACTGCTTAGAGGCCATAAACTACAAGGCATGAAGCACTGCTCACAACAATAGCACCCCATAAAAGAACCTTCAGAACTAGCACAAAGTTGAATAAATGGAAAAAAAATTATTCAAATTCTAGAAAGGACTTAGGTCTATTCCAGCAACTCTGTTTAAGGAAGTCACCTGTCTGCAGTTTCTTTTTTGACCCTCCATATGATGCAAAGCAGTGACAGAGAAGTTCCTTCAATATTGACACATTTTTTTATGTTGAATTACTTCGCAAAATCTTAAATTTTGTCCAAAACCAGAAGTTTGAACCTACAGTGGAAATTAGAGATTTATTTTAAGTAATACCAATACTTAAGAAATTATAAGTTTTGACAAATACTAAGGAGGTCTATTAAATTCTTAACTACTGGTATACTTCCATTTCTAGCTTTACCAACTGAAGGTAAAGAAATGGGGAGTGTGCACCTGGAGGTCAGATATCCTGATATCTGCCTGGAACAATCTCTGCTCCCCTTCGAGTTCCTTTGTTTTGGCTTGTTTTGTTTTGAGCTGCAAGAACTCTGCAAATGGGTGTTGCCAGCTTCTGGCAGCCATATGTGTTGCCTACCATCTGTTTTCATTCCACTGCACTACGGAGACAAACATACTTTATTTTTAGTGTTCTACATTTCCTGATGTTGCACATAATAGGGATAATATCGCACACATAGGTCACTAGACGTGAAAAATCTTCCATGGATAACAGATGAGTAAAGGCAACAGATTATCATACAGGACCAGACAAGAAAATTTTCATTACTTACTTCTCAGTGCAAGCAAGTATATAATTTACACTGAAGTTTGCTTGATTTCTGCATACCTGTGCTTTCTTTCCACACAGCCTAGAAGGGGCTTCCTTCATATGTTTTAAAGATATATCTTTTCAGCAACTTCCTCCAGTGTAGGAAATTACTACCAATAATGAAGTAAGTTGCCTCTAATAGTTGCTATTTTGCATGCAGCACTCAGCATCAAAACAGGATACAAAGAAATTAATAGTACCATCAGCTCTAAGACAGAAAACTGTTTGAAAGGAGGAATTCTGTGCACAGGCTCCCATATAGTTCTGTTGGAAACCATGCACTCCAAAATCAGTTTGCAAAAATTAACTGGGTAGTATAGTATTTATGTAAATTTTGATTGAAAAGATTTCACTGTTACGCCTCAACTTTGGAAGGCACCCATGGCACGCTGGACATGGGAAGTTGTTCTTCAAAATGTACCAATACTGAGCTGAATTCTTGAAAACATCGCTGATTTTACCTGTATTAAGTCATACATTTCTTAATTTAACCCCATTTCACCTCCACCTCCTCAAACTTCTAAGAAGTTGAGTAAGCATTGACTTTTAGCTACATGTGCCCTGATCAACATCTACTACTCATCCAGTATCATATCATTGCCAGCATAACTTAATACCCATACTTTTAGAGTAGACTGCAGTACAGATCTTTCCACCATGTAATATGGCAAATTCAGAATAGTGCAAGTTAATATTAAGCAACTATGGATGAGGAATTACCTCCAGTTTAAAAAAACAATACAAAAATGTATTAAGATTTGCACTAAAATGGAGATCAGCAGAGAAAATTAGTGCCTTTATAACAGCTTATGCAGGAAGAGATTCAAAAGTGTTCACTGTTTATAGGGTACTCCAAAAGACACCTGAAGGAGTTACATTTAAATTTTTCATATTAGCTCTATTCAGTCTGAGTGTTTTACTTATTAATCCTTTCATAAAATAAGCACTTCTATTCATTGCATGTGATCTTACAAATACAGAAGTACTTTTTCATTAATTAGATTGGTAAGGCATTTTTCAATCTTTCAATCTTTTTAATTCATTTAAGCATTTTATAATGGACTTCAATTACTCTCCTCTTTTATTAAGTTATCTGCAGCTCTTACTCTTCCCCCAGAGATTCTGACCAAAATTGTGAGAAAATTACTTTACCTTACTCCTTTTAAATTTATTCTGCCTTCTGCTTTCAAATTATCAGATGCAGTTAAGGAATTCTGCAAGTGCTCAAGGTTCTTATAAGTAATATAATGCAAAAACATAATTTCTGTCTTAAAGCAGTAACTTTTTCAGCTATCAAAATATGAAGTGGAAACATTTTTGTGGATTGGTTTCACTGAGTCTTCTTTTTCCTTTTTTTCTTTCAAGATAGTATATATTTTAGTCTAAAATACTTTTCTGTTGGTTCCCATCAAAATCTCAGAAAAAGCATTTAGCTGAAACCAAATGCAGGAGGAGTTTTGAATGAAGACTGGCAAATTCACCTTGCATTAGCCAGGTACTGATGAACAACCTTCCACACAGTACCCTGTCACTGTGTTGTTCTGTCTAAGGGAGTGAGACCCTTCCTTTCTAATCCCCCTTGTAAACTGTCAATTTACATTCAGAAGTATATAATCCATCATACATCATTCTGTCACTCCTAAACTGCCATAATCTACCACTTTTTAAGACGCCTGTGTGATCATTTTGATGCCTGCATTCACTGTGCCTTTGCAGTTTCCTAATAAAATCTGAATAGTTTTCTATTTCCTTAGATTTGTTGAAAGGTCAGTAAGCATTTATTTCAACAAAAATTATTTTTGACAATAATTTCAAATATACAGAGGTTGGAAAGGCCAGAAAATATAAGAAAAACTTTAAAACCACTCATCTTGAGAACATCAACCCTAATTCTCACTTATTTTGAAATAAAACTACAGTTTGAACTTTGTATTTTAGTCCTATAATAGAAAATTTCTTGTACCCAGCCACAGCCTTCCTCAGATTCTCTGATAAAGACTATCTAATTTGAACATTCACTCCATGCTTTATTCACAGCACTGCAACATCTGACATCTCCTGGATGGCATTTTTTCATTTTTTTATTATATGACTGAAAATAAATTTAAACACTGCATTAACGAACAGAAAATTTGTATATATTTTTACATCAAATTTGGGTATACTATTCAAAGCAACTCAGGACAACAGCTTAAGAAGATTTCAACCTACATGCCTACTTTTAAAAAGATTTATTAAGCAAATCTGAATTTGTATCATTAAAAAGTATTTATAATTAATAACCTATTTTTTCATAGAAAAAAATTGTGATTTCTTACTTAGTTTTAAGTCTCAATTTCATACCACAGGCTATGACAATTTTAGGTACATGTGACCACTTCTTTCAAAATTAGCTTCTAGCAATCTTCAGGCTTCAAAATATTTCTAAGTATTAAATACAGTTTTAATACTTAGATTGCAACAAGGAAATTTTGAAGTAATCTTGAAACTAACTTAATTTCAGCACTTCTGATATTACACAAAATCATATTTTTCTTTAAAATGTCTAAATTTTCTACTATTCTTTAAAATATTTTAAGATCATCAAAAGCATCTGTTGTAATTGGGAAACAGAATTAAAACTGTTTTTCCAAGTAGATTATTAAAAAAACCCCAAAAAACAGCAAGCCAATCTCAAAACTCCAAATTAAAATCAAGTACAACTGCTTTGTGCGCCTATGGTCGAGTTTTGCTTCCTAAAAATTATTTTGTTTTCACTGTAAAGTTTAAGAAAAGATACTTTATGGTTCGATGCCTTAATTTTGGTGTTTGTTTTTACAGACAAAGAGGTTTTCATTGTGATGTTTACCTATTCAATACATGTGCAGTTTCAAGTTGGTTTAATGAAAGCAGTGAAACAGGAAATAAACTGCCAGCAGGATGAAGAAGAATTGCCAACCAAATCTTCGTGTTGTATCCATAGTATAATGTCTTCAAGGAATCCAAAGCACATCTCTGCAGTTCAGATTCTCAGAGGTCACTGAGCTTTATAATTATCTCCAAGCAATTTTCTCCACATCCTGTTAAGCTCTCTCTAAACAGCTGTGTGTGTTGCCATGCAGCTTCACCATCCCCTCCATTTAGAACTGCTTCCAACATAACTTCTGTTGCACCAGAAAAATCTGAATAGGAGCAAAGATTTTTATCTATCGGAGGAAAAGATAAATAATTCAGTAAGCCACTGCTCCAGACAGTACATAATGCTACAATGCATGTTAAAAAGTATACATTGTAATGGATATTTAAGGATCTCAGTTGCACCTACTCAAATTCATCTGTCCATTAGTGGCAGGGAAAAAAAACAAACCACCAGCTACAAATTTTTAGTTATTATTTGTTTAACACTCATGTTCAGAGGACCTAGTCAGGACTGATGCCACCAGACATAGAAGCATCTGTACTCAGCGTTGGTGAGGCCACACCTCGAGTACTGTGTCCAGTTCTGGGCCCCTCAGTTCAGGAAGGATACTGAGGTCCTGGAGCTGGTCCAGAGGAGGGCAACTAGGCTGGTGATGGGACTCAAGCACAAGTCCCATGAGGAGAGGCTGAGGGAGCTGAGGCTGTTCAGCCTGGAGAAGAGGAGGCTCAGGGGAGACCTCCTCACTCTCTAGAACTACCTGAAAGGAGGTTGTAGCCAGGTGGGGGTTGGTCTCTTTTCCCAGGCGACTATCAGGCAAGACAAGAGGGCATGGTCTCAAGTTGTGCCAGGGGAGGTTTAGGTTGGATATTAGAAAGAATTTCTTTACAGAGAGGGTGATCAGACATTGGAATGGGCTGCCCAAGGAAGTGGTGGATTCTCCGTCCCTGGAGATTTTTAAAAAGAGACTGGATGTGGCACTTAGTGCCATGGTTTAGTAACCACAGCAGTAGTGGATCAAGGGTTGGACTTGATGATCTCAGAGGTCCCTTCCAACCCAGCTGATTCTATGGTTCTATGATCTATCATTCGTAGTAAAACACTATTGTCTTGTATGCACTCTCTTGCTCTTGCCAGCCCTGCTCTGTTGCAGATACCATTGTATATATTAATAAAACTGGTTTTGTACCAGTGTTAATTAAATGCACAGTATTTTCTTGACCTTGCTAAGAAACACTGAGTTGGAAAAGCAAAAAAGTATTCGCATTTCATTTTTAGTATTTGCACAGTACTTTCTCCATATAAACTATTTATTTCCAGTTACACCTCTGCTGCGTGACATAATTCATTATTTAAATTTTACACTTACCTCCCATCAGAGCAATTTCTGCTTTTGGAGAGCAAAGTCTCCACTCTATTCTTCCACTCTGAAAAGTCTGACTGCTTGTCCTAACTGAAATGTTATCTATTTTCAGACCGACTGACTTGCACTCAAACTTCCAGCTGATGGAAGCAGAGGATGACCCTTCTTTTCGGGCTAAATAAACCTAAATGGAAAGAAGACATGTCAAAAACTGAGATGATCAAATCAAGATTTGGTCAAAAACTGAGATGACCACAAACATTGAATTAACAAGGACACAAAAATCTTAAGATAACACACTTTCATTCTCTGTCAAGCCTCTGAACCTTTAAAACTGTACTAAATACAATTTTATATATTAAAATTCCTTCATCCTTAAGTCTGTTCCACAGTTAGGTAATGGTACATCTTCATAGCCCTTCACTAGGGAACATTAAATTATTTCAACATACATAGTGAAGTCCAAGCCACAAAAACATTTAACTTATTATTTTTTAAAGACGCAGACTTCTGGGGTTTTCTATAATGCACAGGCCCACACACTTAAGTTGCTCAGTGTTGCTGAAGAAGAAAACTGTGTCATCAGAAGATTCTTCAGGTGTGGCTGCTGGCTGCTCACTACTTCTCCTAGGACTTGACATGTCTTGGTTAAAGCATATCACCCATGACAGCCATATATAAATCCTTCATTATTATTTCAACTGTTAGAACGTTGCATAACACCTGGAGCTGTAGCTCCTAATTTCTCAAGGCCTTTGTCTCATCCTTTAGAGGTGCTGCTGAATACAAGATTAAAGTCTTTTCACAAGGCCTTTTAAACTGGTCGCACCCTGTTTCATCTGAATAGTAGAGGTGATCAGAAATGCAGTTTAGTTTCATTGGAAGGACAGTATGTTTCTTGCAAAAGCGAGGATAACTGATCACTGCAAATTTGAAAATATAATGTGCTATCGGATTTTTAGCAGATCCTAGGAAAGCAAAGAACAGCTGTCACTCACTCTTGAGTTTTTGTTACTTCTCTTCTACTGTTAGCCTACCCTGTTGTGACACCGTTTATATTTTTCTCCCCTTTCTTCCCTTTCTCTTTCTCCTTTTTGTAGCATAACCTCTCCAAGCTATTCCCTTGTTGGATTTTGCAAGTCAGTTTAGACCCAGCACAGAAAACCTCAGAAGGCAGTTAGTTACATACCTAACTCCATTATCATCAATGCAAAGTATAACCACTGCCTAAGCCAGAAAAATGTTTGGTCAGAGACCCTTCAGACTAGTAAAATGGCAGGGGAAGAAAGCAGTGACATGCTATAGCCCCTGCCAGGAATGTTCAGTTCCACAGTTGGTTGCTGTTGTGGGAAAAGCTGTTTGCTAGTAAAACACCCCTTCCCATCTCACAGGCTTCAGTTCTCAGATTTAGAGCATACGACTCTTCTGCTGCTCAGTGTCTTGACAGATGGGAAGGATTCTGGGCAGGGTATACAATAATCTGGATAACTGACAGGTTTTTGCCTTCTTGCAGATGGAACTATAATATTTAGGATGACAATTTCTTCCTTTGTGTATCAAGGAGATACTCTGTAGAGCTATTCTCCAAAACAACAACAAAAAAAATCCTTTTTTCCTTCTTTTTTTTTCTTCTTTTTTTTTTCTTTTTTCTTTTGAGAGAAGTACTGCTTTTCAATAAAATAGCATTTTCCCAAAAGCATAAGAAGGAAGCCATTTTTTAAAATTTGGTGCTCTGGCAAGGACTTTGCCTATCTGTAGAGAATTTGGTCATCCTTTCTGAAAGACAAGCTAAATTTATTTCCAATTTCTTAAATCATCTGGCAGTCTTACCTGAAGCTTAACAGTAACATTTACTAACATCAGCTAAATTCTATGGGCACCAAGAGAGGTTTTGACACCAAACATTGGCAAGGGTTTTCTATTTTATTAGAGTTATACTTTTACGGTAGATTATATACTTTTAATAATTGCTATTCTTACCATTTTCCAATCTGTTTCAACTTTTCTCCAAACAGATTCTGCCTTCCAAACACCTGCTTCCCAGCCACTTATTTTTTCATTGTTATTGGAAATCCGTGTATAACTATCATCTACTATATTGTAGGTGAGGTGGAAGAGTTTAGATGTCTTCTCCTTTTCAGAGGGAATAAAAAGTACTTCTTTTCTTTTCTGAAAAAGGCCAAAAATACAAGCACCTTCAGTCCCCTATGTCTAAATTCCCCAAAGACTATGCTACTTTTAAACAGTATGTCATAGTTTCCCAATTCAGTTTTACTGCAAGTGAAAAAAAAGTCATTTTTAAGAGAGGTCATGGACAAAAGCACTTCTGCAGAACAGAAGTTTTAAACCAGTTTCCTACAATAGACCTGCACCTTTTTACAATGGGGAGCACTAATTCTATTTTTAAAGTTTTCATGTAATCACTTTTAGAAGTAATTTTTTAACAAGCTAACATAAAATTAGCACATTTAAGTAAGAAATTAGGGGTTAAGATTAAAAAAGTTTATATGTTGAGCATATTTCTTGTACAACCAATAAGTAAATGGTAGCCCATGGCTTGGACAAGTGTACCCTCTCCTGGATTAGGAGCTGGCTGGAGGGTCGGGCCCAGAGAGTGCTGGTGAATGGAGCTGCATCCAGCTGGCAGCCGGTCACCAGTGGTGTTCCCCAGGGGTCTGTGTTGGGTCCAGTCCTGTTTAACATCTTTATTGATGATTTAGATGAGGGGATTGAGTCCATCATCAGCAAATTTGCTGATGACACCAAACTGGGAGGGAGTGTCGACCTGCTGGGAGGCAGGAGGGCTCTGCAGAGGGATCTGGATAGACTTGAGAGATGGGCTGATTCCAATGGGATGAAGTTCAATAAAGCCAAGTGCCGGGTCCTGCACTTTGGCCACAACATCCCCCTGCAGCGCTACAGGCTGGGCACAGAGTGGCTGGAAAGCAGCCAGGCAGAAAGGGACCTGGGGTACTAATTGACAGGAAGCTCAACATGAGCCAACAGTGTGCCCAGGTGGCCAAGAAGGCCAATGGGATCTTGTCCTGTATCAAAAATAGCGTGGCCAGCAGGAGCAGGGAAGTGATCCTTCCCCTGTACTCTGCGGTGGTGAGGCCACACCTTGAGTATTGTGTTCAGTTCTGGGCCCCTCAGTTCAGAAAGGATATTGAGGTGCTGGAGCGGGTCCAGAGAAGAGCAACAAGGCTGGTGAAGGGACTGGAGCATAAGTACTATGGGGAGAGGCTGAGGGAGCTGGGGTTGTTTAGCCTGGAGAAGAGGAGGCTCAGAGGTGACCTCATCACCGTCTATAACTACCTGAAGGGAAGTTCGAGCCAGGTGGGGGTTGGTCTCTTCTCTCAGGCACTCAGCAATAGGACAAGGGGGCACGGGCTTAAGCTCCGCCAGGGGAAATTTAAGTTGGATATCAGGAGAAAATGCTTTACAGAGAGAGTAATCAGGCATTGGAATGGGCTGCCCAGAGAGGTGGTGGATTCACCATCCCTGGAGATTTTTAAACGCAGATTGGACGTGGCACTGAGTGCCATGATCTAGTAAATGGACTGGATTTGGACCAAGGGTTGGACTCGATGATCTCGGAGGTCTTTTCCAACCCAATCGATTCTATGATTCTATGATTCTATGATTCTATTTGAATAGCAAATGTAATTCTGTGACTACAATATACAGGTGCTTCGGTATGGCAGTTGACAAACCAACTTCAAAAAACTTCAAGTACAAACTTTGTAACTTTACCCTTTTATTTTTCTTAAAAAATTACTTTGTTCTTATGAGTTTCAGCAAAGCAGAAATTAAGTCTTCTAAATTATGGAGAACTGTAATAAACTCTTAGGTTCTCAAACTTAAACAATTCTATGAAATTCAATAATTTCACTTAACTGGTTCTATTTAGGACTGTCAGTCATTCACATGTCAGTATTGTTTCAAGATTAAGGTCACACCTTTGCATCCTGACTTAAGCTAAATATGACTACAGTTCTGGAAAACTGTATCTTAGTATAAAATAAATAAAAATCAAATCTTGCTTTTGGAAATAGTAAAAAAATATTGATATGAAAATCAACCAAGCTTATTATTTAAGAGATTGTTTAAAGTACAGAATTCTAGTTGCTCCCACATTGTTTTATTGACAAAAACAGTTGTTCAAAACCTACTGTTGGTTAAAAGCTGGAAGTAACTAATAATAGAAACACTTTTTTAAAGTTTTCCCAATTGTTTTCAACTGTCTTAAATTTTCTAGTTCTGTCACACCAACTATTAAAAGGAAAAAATATTTTTTTATTAATTTGTAAGAACAAAACACACTTTAGAGCAAGGATTCCCAAACATTACTGGAATCAACAGACAACCATCAGTTGTCCAAATTTACTTGTGGACCTCTACTGAATTCACATCAAACGTGCACCTAATGTTTTTGCATAATTCACTTGTTTTAACTAAATCTGCTAGCTACCTAACATGAGATGCTCTTCCTCTGCAGAGCATAATCATAAAACCACTAGTCAGCTACCTCTAAGATGGTCATCAGTGCAAAAGTTAAATACCTCTGGACCAATTTCGCCTCTGGCCATTCGCCAAGCCATTGAGCCTGATGTCCTTCCACCATATTCTCCAGGTTTAGGTGTTTTAGGAGAAATAAATTCAACAAGCTCCACAATAGTCCTTTCCAAGAGCTCTCTTTTTCTACTTTCTGACAAAGACTTTTGTCTCTGGAAAAAAACATACAAGTAAAAAATTCAGAAAAAACGGTATTTGTAATTCTGCTCGAGTGACATCAACAGGGGAAAACAGAATTGAAAAAACAGGCTAAGATTTAAAATCTAGACTGACTGTTAGAAATATTAATCTTATACCACATACACAAATATAAACCAGTCATAAATGCATGGTTATTCAACAGTAGTGCTTTCTCTATGAACTTGCTATGCACTAACTATGTGGATTTCTTTTAAAACAAGGTTTGTGCTATGTTTTTAATATATTTGCTTGGATGATGAGATGCTTCCATACCATATTTGATCTCTATTTATATAGAGATATATATTCTGTACCATAGCTGTTTTCAGTATTATTTAGGGGGAAAGGAAGGTAAGTATCATTTTTGGGTCAAACTATTTTTCTCTAAGGTGGAATGATTTGGTTGGCAACAGTCTTGCTTTTGTGATTAAGCCCAAACAAAAGATTCACTTCACTATATCATATACAAATATGGATATCATATATATATATCATATATATATATAACAAACAAACTATGACATTTCTATTTTTGCTGATGTCAGAAAACTAAGAAAAACTTACAAAAACTTACTTCCAGGTAAATCAGTAGAAAATAAAAAGAATTACATAACATGCTTTCTTTCTTTATATCAATTAAAAAATGGGCATTAAAATTTGATGCAAAACATCATAAAATTTCATTGAGAGGCTGGTATTTTGTCTGCATGATTTTCATGTCAAATATGCAAAGCTGGCATGTAAAGCCTTTTTTTTTTTTTTACCTGGGATAAACTCAGACGGGGCTGGAAAATTGAGTATGTAAATTGTTACACATCGTCTTTTTTTCTGTTTTGGTGATCACCCAAGGCATGCACACTCAGCCCACTAGGACCCAAAACTTGAGGCTGATAAACATTTCAATTATCTCAAAAGCAGTTCTGACCCCAGACAGTTTTGCTGTTAGAGATCACAAAAGAGACATTTCAAGATTGTTGTCTAGACCAAAAAAAACAATGTGGAACTGGGTAAAGGGAAGTAAATACAGAGAAATGATGAGAAACAGCTCCAACTGAACAAATTCCAGATGCCAAATACCAGTTCTAACACAGCAAGGGGGGAAAAAGCCCTCAGCTTGTGTTGATGGATGACAAGCAGCGATTCCAGCAGTGAAACACCAGGCCTTCCTCAATCTAACAGTTGCCTGAACATTTTGGATATGCATATGCAGTACTACAGATCTTGTTCCAGCTCAGAGAAAATTTGATATGGCTCACCCTAAGTTAACAATACCAACTACAATTTTCTTCAAGCCCCTTTGATGTAGGGGAAACCCAGTGTCAGGGGGCATCACCTCTGAAATCAGTGATGCCATGCTGAGAACTGGGTGCCCTTGCTGTGCAGTTGTTCTAACAGCAGGTGAAAAAAAACCTGCTAAAGAACAGTGCTTCAACACGAAAAGGCTTCAGAAAACAGACCTCTTTATGTACAATACAAGAAATCAGTGAGATCCTCAGCTATAAACAGTACAAATATGTTAATTCTTGCCACCCAGCAGACTCCTGCAAAAAAATGCTAGCAGCATGCAAGACATGCACAATGCTCAGACTCTGCAGAGAACAACACTGCCTGTGCTGGGAAAACCTGTAACTACATTTCCTACCAATGACATTGTCATGAATAGCATCCATGTGCTGAAATGGATGTCAAGAACTCCATTATCAAGTTCCATGGCTCAAACTTCCTGCTTCTGGTTTTGCCTTTTTTTTTCCCTGAGATATTACCCTCTACATACATGCTCAGGCCCCATCTTTGTTTGGCAGACAAAGGGAATGAGAAGGAAGAAGGATTGTGAATTGCACCTTTAAAATTAGTTCTGTATCAGGTGAGTTGTGCTGTTGATGCTTCCTGAAGGACTTAAACCTATGGTTTAAGCGGATCTACTGCTAGGTTTGACATAATTTGAGGGCAGAAATTGAATTTTAAACCTTTGACAAGGAATACTGGATCATCTCACATTAATCACCATGAAGTGCTTGCAATTCAACCTAAATTACTAGTTTTCCTTGTAAGAGTTGACCTGGCTCTAACTATAACCCTTCAACTATAACAATCACTACCAAAAAATTGGGGCCTGGAGAAATTAAAAAAAATAATTTGCTTCCCTGTCGCACCATCCCATTTCCAACGAAAGCAGTGGAAAGTTCAGGGTCCTCTCCCCACTATCTATAGGGGTAACATACAAGGGACTGGAATAGGACAGTGCCCATACAAAGTACGTGAAGAAAATTTGTAGTCAGTGCTATCATAGTGCCATGGTACTACAGAATAACATCAGATAGTGGGTAGCCCAGAGGCTACACATTCATTTAGGAATGCCTGACCCAGATAAAACACACACAGTATTTTTGAAAAGTAAAACAGTGTACTGAGGAGATTAAATTATCCTTGTCTGTTATCCATTTAACAGCAAGCCACTCAACGTGCTTTGAACCATTTTTGGTCTCTGCTTGGCAACTAAACAGACACACAGAAAACTAATGGCCACAGTCATTGCTCTTTATGCAGGAAAGAGCAGCAATGACCCCTCAAATCCATTTTTGCTAACACTGCAGTACGGGTGATAATGTATACTGCATGGCATGCTTCTCTTTAATTGTAACTTAGAAGAACTGAGCTTAAAAGACACAGTGTTGGAGCTTTGCATCAAACAACAAAAAGATTATAATCCCTCCTAGTGTGGAGCCAGTCTCTAGGACCTGATGGGAAAAGGGAAAGTTAGTGGAGGCCTCTGGGTCAGTTATTGATCGAATAGGCTGCAGTGAAGGAAACCATATGAGCTGAAGTGGAGGCTCGTAGCAGGTTTTCATTACTCTGTTCAGTCACAAGACATCTCGATAGTCCCAGGGATAAGCTGCCTTACTCCTCTGTGACTGCACTCTGGTTAGCCTTGTCAGTGCTCGTGCACTCTGCTATGTGACCAACTTTTCATTACTGACAAAATGATTTCAAGCCCTGGGCTCAAACATGAGTTCAACTCAATTCTTCACACTCTCAGTGTGTGGCTGTAACTCTGAAGCCAGCAGGCTCCTAAAAAGGCATAATCTGCTTATTAAAGCATCAGCTGTATACTACCACTGGAACTACAGTTTCCATGCACAGGAATATTAGCCCTGTAAGGAAGCGAGGCCAAAACAGAACCCCCCAGGTAGTTCACAGTTTTATGATATTCTAGTAAACTGGATCAAGCAAAGTTCATCCTGTTCCAACTATGGAGTGGAAAAAAGCTTAGCAGAGAGGTTCTGCAACTGTGATATGCAGGTATAAATGGCTCCATGTGTTTTGGGGATGTTAAGCATGAACAGTGCATATATATGTAACTGAGTCAAAGCTCTGCTGATGGTAACAATGTTTTTTGAACGTCTTGGAAAACAAATAACTTCTCACGCTTCCTGGAGCTTGTAAAAAGTCACAGAAAGCAAATTAAGCCTACATTTCTTACAACTGTAAATGCTACTGTTTTCGAGTCATAGCATTACTGATGTGGAAAACACTCAGCCACTGTCAAGGAGTCCATACAGTTAGAAAGGAGATGCAGTTTACACCCAGCATCTGTTGATATACAAGTCTACACCAAAGTCACTAAGAAAAATAACATATACACACATGTCTATGTAATAGATAATATGATAATCCTTTTGTATACCATTCTTTATCTTATTTCCCATAAGTTCAGCACTGCATCTGATTCTTATGTATTCAGGTTAAAATGTATAGTTAATGGCATTTTTTATATCCGTAGTTCATGGACATTCTTATCACGTTACCAAATGCATTCCTTTGTTCAGGGACTTCGCATTCTGCAGATGCTTGTGTTTCACTTTAATAAATCCATTTAAGAAAAGCTACATACCGTTCTATTTAGTGCATTAATTGTCTCACGTAGCGTTGCTTCGCTGAGTGCTGTCCTTCTAGAGAGTACTTCTTCGTGTTTACAGCTGTATCTCCAGGTGACATCAACAACCTCAAGCACAAGTTGAAGAAGAAAGTAAAGTAACCAAAATTCTGATGTATCTTGCTTCATATTTAAAGAGACTAGCTAATCAAAGTATGATCTTCTATAATAATTCTGGAAATCCCACCAAAATGGAATACATAACATACTTGCCCCAGGGCAAGTTTATTCATTATTAACACCATTACTCCTACCTCATCTTTGGAGAATGCAATTACATAGGAGAGCTTCTTTCCCCATCCAGTTTCATAGAGAAGAGGCTTATCACAGACATTTTCACAGGGATCACAATGAAGCCATCTTTTCTGAGATGAAGAATATACCTCAGTCCACACATGATCTATGTAATAAAGGCCAAGAATACAAAATGAGTTATAAGGATAGAGCATCTCTTCTAATCTTGCAGAATCTTTTAACTTTTTCCAATTTATCAAACAAAGGAACAGGTGCAAGAACACGTTTTCTGTACGTATACATTCAGAAACATTAACAGAGCTTTCTCTCTGTCTTCGGATCACAGTCCCTTAGATTCAACTAAAGACTGTATCATTCTGAAGTCAGTTATCTAACCTTACTCGCAGAACTGTATTTCATCTCATCAGGCAAGACAGAAAATTGAATGTATACTGTCTTTGTTAGCTGAACTGCATAACTGTACACGCTGCCCTGATGACTAATATAATCTGAGAAACATAAAACACATAACCTCATTTTGCATAGGTTTATATTAACATTACAATATTCTAGAACACTGATACCTGTATAGTCCCAGACATATCTCGCTTCAAACCCTACAGCTCTGCAACACAGTGTAAAACAGTTTGCCCACTCGCCACAGCGTCCACGTCTGGTTTCCAGAAGTTTTTCAGGGTTGTTATACCTATAGGAGAAAAACAAAACAAGAATAACTGAGAATACATTTCACCTTTCAGAAATCTTTACATCACAACTGTTCTTCTGATGCTTTGAACAGATTTCAGTACTAATCAGTCCACAGATGATAACAGAAATGAATCACTGTTCTGCACAAAACAAGTCTGAGCAGGATGTTACTTCAGCTCATGTGACTCCATCATGTTTATAGCAGCACTAAAATGAATCTTATTTTTCAAGTTTTTAAGATTGATTTAGACGTCTTAAAATATGATTTTTGTACACTTTTTGTACATTTTTGATAGTTAGCAAAAATAATCCAAAGATTGGATATTTGCTCTTTTGCTATAGACTCAGCAAAAGATGTGTATTACAATGTGATTTCCCACAGAAGTGAAAGTTTTCCCTGAAATAACAAAACCCTATCTACGCGTGGTTGGCAATACTAACAGATTTTATTTAGAAGCCGTACTTCATCAAATTAACAGTGAAAATAAAGTTAAATTAGACAAGTATTCAGAACAAGGCCCCATAGCAGAAAGCAATATATTGTTTTTAATCTGATATTGTAGAGAAATTGCTGATCATCAACCATTCTATCATCATACTTAAAACAGCTTCACTAATCTTTCAACTAACAACTTATCACTTGTTCACGAAATGCACAAATGAAAAGCTGTTTGTCGAAAGACAAGAAAAAAGACAAAGGAAACCTCTGTGTGCTCACCTTGGGAATCTATTAGAGAACTGACACTGGTTGCAGTAGTGGTTTTCCACTCGACTGGCACTCCACCTTACATCATCCTCAGTAGGCAACAGGTAGTCACTTTTAGGCTCTGTCTGCCCACCACACCTGCTGCAAGGGAGACTATTTACCCAATGAAAAAAGTAAGTCTTAAACCACTCCAAAAGCTCCAACAATAGGAAGTCCTCTTCATTCACATGTGCACCTGTAAAATTTATACAACACAAAGTTAGTTCATATGGAAAAGTAATTTAGTTGAACTTGACAGTATCTATGCAAATCAGCATCTCTGGGCCTTTATGATATTTTAGAAGTACATATAAAATATATGTACTTCTAAAATATAAAAATTATATTAAACAAGCTTCATAATAATAATACTTAAGCACACATTAAAAAGAAAATCTAAATTGTCAAGACCGAATACGGTCAAACTTAAAAACAAAAAACTGCACTCCTAAACACTAAGGCTAGGACAAGAATAAGAAATCGATCAAAAAAACAAGTCAGATATACATGGAAGCCTGGTGAAGCTTCTCATGCCTCTCATACTCTTGCAGGGCTTTGGGAGAATGCTAATTCTTTTTTTGCTCCTAAATATTATTTTCTTATTCTTAGCTATTAAACTAGGAATAACAATTGCTTTGATTTCAAAATCCCAAAGAGCCAGATGCTGGCAGCAATCCAGACAACCAGGTGTAGTAGGAACAGACTTTCTACAAACCCAGCTTAATTATTGTAGAATATATGTATATACCATGCAAACAAGTTGAGTTTGTAAGTTGAGTTTGTTTTAAATTCAGCAAATAAACACCTTTCTCAGCTTATCCAAAGTAGGCACAGGATGTCTTTAATTTTCTGCTCTAGCTGATTTCACCATTTCTTCTGGCCCATTTTCCTGGCCACAACACGTCTTAGAATCTACTCAAACACTGTCACTGCTCTGACACCTGGAAACAGCCCCACTTTCCCTAAATAAAAAATGTGAAAATCCAGTCTTTCAGGAGAGATCCATTCCTTTAAATTTCTTGGAATCTTTATATGTACATTCTGCTCCGGTGCCCAGAGAGATACTCTTCTTTCTCAGATACATAAATATTCAAATAAGTCCCCTATCAATCCCATCATCACCGAAAACATAGGTATTAATACCTGGCTATTTTTATGTACTACAGCTTTCTTCTTGTCACAGTGGAGACAGGTTTGACTAATGAATATTAACAGACAAAAATTAATGTATAAAAATGCTGCTTAAAGAAAGTTGAAAGCAGTTGCATTTGTGCAAGAGTTCCTTTTTCAGGATGGTGAAGAAAGACCAGGTAAGATGTGCATTTTACTTATTTAAGCTCAGTTCACATCTTGCTCTGAAGCTGTAGTGGTCTTTGATACAAAAGACCCTGTAGGGGCCCTAACACTATTAAACACACGTTGCAAGACTATGAAGTGCATGGGAAGAGATCATCTGCTAATCAAAGCAAAACCACCTGATTTCTGATTACAGTAAAATTTCCATTTTTACTTATGTATGTGAAAACTCTTTGTGCTGGAACACTCAGACAAGGGCTTACTGCTTGCAAAATGGATATGCCTGTTCTGCTAAAAGCTGAACAATAAGATTTCAAGCACAGGCCATATTCTCTTTTTCTGGATAACATTCAAACTAGAACCCATCAATGACAATATGACTACTATGGTATGAACATTATTCTCTTGGTTCATAAAATAAATCCTTCATTGAAACATCACATGGGAACAATGACAAATGTGATTTATTTGAACAGAAAATAGCTGTGACACACAGCTATTTCTGACTGTGCAGTCTATCTTTCTAATGGAATGTGGCAAAAAGTAAAAAACAAATCCATACTTCTGATCAAATGACCATCATCTTCTTAGCATACTCTTTATTAGTCAAAAATGCTTATTACATGTTGTTAGACAAGTCCTAAAAACAAGTGTTCTGTAGCATTAAGTAGTTATTCCCACAGGTGGCAGTCAGTGCAGCAGTACAGATAAACCAAAGAAGCTGAAAGGGCCAATTACCCATATATGTCATACACAGTCCGTTCCCAAATGAATTTTCTATAAAGCTCTTCAAAAAGGCTTTCAAGCTGTCACAATCTAAAACAGTGAAATTCCATCTCTTCCCCATTATTTGTATCTAAATTAAGGTCTGGAAGCCATTTTGAATAGCCCAGCTTGATGGCTTGGGAAGCACCTGGAAACATTACCCTCCTCCTTCCTTCCCCTTTTTAAACAATGTGCACAGCAGTATTAGAACACAGTCTAAGAGGTATGCTCATCCTTTTTTTTTTTGCTTCTTATAGGAATTTAATACTTGTCATTTATTACTGCTAAGTCTCTTTTCTCCATTGCATGCTGAATGAGTATGCTTTGTACTTGTTTATGTGGTTTCTTACTTCCCAGTACAGTTGTATAAGAAAACAAAAACTACTAAGAAAATCCACTATGAAAAAGTTCCCTAACGCCAAAGGCACAACTGCATATTAGCACGTGGCTGTATGAGACATCACAAAGTAATTTATAAAAAACCATGAGATTATTTCTGGTTTGCAAACCAACAGCACTCCCATAAAGTTAGCAGAATTGCTTCTATCAAAGATTCATAGTGAGAAGGATTTTTTATGTTTAAAGACTGTCTTGGAAATGTGGGCTTTTTTTAATATTTATCACACAGAATAATATTTCACTATATCATTGAAACAAATCTAAAACTGTCACCTGAAAATAGAAATATATAATTTTAACTGACAATAACTTCATACATTCAAAACAAATTTGCATTTATGAAGAAAACAAATTTTAGAGAGTGATACCACAAGTATTTAGGCCTACATTTCACATCTAGCTCCAAGAGGATGGCATGTGAACAACCCTATTCATTTAAGCATTAGTGAGAAAGGTGATTGTATCAGGTGACATCTTGGAAAGGTCTCATGCAAAATCTCACCAATATCACTTTTAAAAACAGAAGCAGTATTTAAAATTTTTATTCTGAATTTAGAATGTAGTACATACAGGAAAATTGCAAGAATTGACAATTTCGAAATAGTGACTACTCAAACAAACAGCTCCCTCCTCTTGTTGTACCTATTTCACCTATTTCACTCTAAATCCAAACCCCATTTTTTTCCCCAGCATCGTTTACTACTAATTCAGAAATTAAAAATCCAAAATTTCTATGCGAAACAGTAAAAGATGGATGACAAAAGTAAAATAAAAAATGAGAGAAGGAGAGTAGGAAATTAGGGAGAAGGTAATTCCAACTTAGAAACAGCATTTGAAACCTGCAAACATATGACCAAATACACACAGCCAATACATAGTATGTTTGAAAGCGTACTTCTAGTTTCATATACATTATAACTTGGCGGCATTACCTTTGTCCAGTCTTGTAGCTTGTGATAGCTTTTTCTGAGCCTTGTTCTTCAATTCCTGGAGGGGAATTGCAGCTAGTGCTTTCTGCTGAATAGAAGGATTCTCATACATCAATACAAGATCCTCAAATTTTGTTTGAAGCGTTTTCAAGATATTTGCAGCCTGCAAAAAGATTTTCAATTATAAGACAATTTACGAACTTTCACCTTAAGGCAAAAAACCAAGCTCTTCTTATTTTTAGCTTAAGTCAGTCATAATTCTATAGTCATACTTACATTATATGTATTGCAGGTAAAATGCTTATGTGTAAAGATATCAACAAAAATCGCAGGCAACACCACCCAAACTGTAAGTCTGACCTTGTCATCTCTGAGCATTCTGAATGGTGTCCTCAGGGAAAAGTGTACTGACTCAGACAGAAGAGAAAATTGTTTCTAAGGACACCTCCGACAGCAAAGCTTCTGACTTATTCCAGTCCCCTACCCCATTCCCTCACCTTTCATTTGGACACATTTTACCTGAAATCCATAAAAAAACCTGTAAACACTTTCATTTCCTGGACACCGCTACACCAGTTCGTAGAACTCTTGTTATTGATGACTGCTGCTTTTTTATTTCTTATTTATGAATGTTGCCTGTCTATTTCTACTTCCTTCTCTCACACATCAACTCTGATACAGATTTGAATAGACAGCCCTGTGACCATAAAGTGAACACACTCTTTCAGTAGAAATTGTGTATGAGAACTAGGCTGGATCAGTCAGTCATCGTAAGTGTCACCTAGTGACAACTACAAGTCGCACCCAATAAGGTACACCCATAGCTAGTAAAATAAACAGCTGAAGTTAATAATAACGGAGTTAGTAGCTGAGCAAGCTACTTACCCCCCTTTAAAGGGGAGTAACATAGAAAATGAAATGAGATTTTTAAATTAAGGGCCTAGCATATTTTGGGGGGAAGCCCGTGGCACTGCTAAATTACCTTTTCTCTATGCTATATCATGCTTCAGTCTTTAGCCTTGTTAACTACCATCTTAATTTAATCAAAAATCCCACCCTTTCCTGAGATGCTGGCAGCAAACACAGGTGTGAGAACTCTTCAGAAGATAATTTCTTTCAAAGGAGCACTTCAATTACAAGTGATTATTTTGATGCTGGAGAGTACTGCAGGACCAGTCTTTAATTTTCATAACTGCTAAAACAGAACAGAGCTTGTTTTACTCCTCCTGGAGGTCATAAGCTATAGGTAACTGGTTTAACATCATAAACTCAATTGTGTCCAGATTCACCTTAATGCAAGTTGAAAGAACAGAAATAAGGGATGTTAGAGACTTCCAAAGGCTTATAGACCTTCATGTTCTGTCAGCTTCCTGAAAGAATATTCAGAGATATTGCTAAGCACAGCAGGAAGTCTCCCAGAAAAACTATTCCGGTCTTCCCACTGGCAAACACCCTAAGTGTTACAGTAGTGCTTAACTGTTTTCATGGAAGCCACTGTGTAATGATGAAGTCTTATGCAAAAATCTTAGAAGGGTGGTGAACGTCACAGCAGTTCTAAGTTTGGATACAACTTTCCTCCTGTAGTCACTATACCATCTAGGAAAGGATCAGAATCCATATAACAGAATTAATGACTAGCCAGAGCTTTCCTTTCCCCGACTCTCAAGAACGTTTTACAACGAGAAGCGTAGAAGAGATATATGAGGTAAAATAATGATAGGTTAGGTCCCTAGAACTGTGCCATTTAGGAATATTCCTGTGTTGTCTCAAGTAAGCCAATCTTCCCTGCGCTTACCAGGACTCCCATGAATGACAAATGTAACACATAGGCAAGAAAAAAATGCTTGCACTACAGAAACCACTCTAAATCTCTCTGACATCTGTCAGCAGAGCACACAACAATAATACAACTATAACTCGGCATCATACTCACTAAAAAACAAAACCCCCATTGCTGTGCAAGCAAAACAGCCAAGTCACAGCCAGAAGGTATTTTATGGACTTCCTTCCCATCAACCCAGACTACACAGATCAAATTCGATGGTTCAGAGAGCTATCAGTATAGTTCCCCGAAGGGATCAGCTGAAATACAGCATTCTAATAAAGCGCCAACATTGCATTTCCAGTGTCTCTAAATTGTAGTAAGTTTGGTCCCACCATCCATGCTGAATCTTAAGAAGTGTGGAAAATTAACAGTTGCAAAGAAATGGATCCACTATGATGGCTACTGTATGTTGGGGCAGAATAACTATAAATGGAAAGGATTAACATCAGAATACATTGTGTCAACTTGAAATCTGCAATATTTTTCTCATTGCAAGATCAACTTTTAAAGGTTCCAGTACTAAGCAACACAGCAGCAAGTCACTCTAGAGGTTTTATAATCACTTCCAAAAACCACTGCAGAACTGGCTGAAACAGTAAAAATCAAGAAGCAGGCAAAAAAACAACCCAGAAATCCCCAACCAAATTCAAATAAATCTAGTTAATATATTTCAGAGGCAATTACTACCAGGCTAGCATAATTAAACAGCTCAATATTCAAGTGTCTACAACAGTTCCCTTCCCAAAGGATATTTTGGGTGATGATGGGTCACTGAGAGCTCTCTATCCCCAAAAGCCATCACTTCAAACCATGCTGTACCATTTCTTGTCCACTGATTTTGGGTAGGTATTGGGAATAAACAGTATGTCATAGTTCAGTATCCAACAATATCCTGATAACTTAAAAGTGGCAAACTGTGTTTAAGGATGTATGAGAAGCAAGCTTTTTTTGAAAGGATTCAACTTACACCAACTTTAAGACCAAAGTGACACTGATTCAAGGAAAAAAAAGCTCTCTGGAAAATTAAACCAAAGCATCCTTAAAACCTTCTATCTAAAGGCGTAACCTAATTTTTCAAAGCTGTATGAGATGTTCCATCTTCTTCCATTGGGCCAGTTAACACCAGATGAAAGGATACTGCCTCTGTCTTGATCGGGAACTTCATCTCAACCTCTTGGACAAGGGAAACTCAGCATAGATAACTACAGATTTGTCCTCCCCTGGCTAAATTCCTGTCTTCAACGACAGGCACCTGTGAAAGAAGAAAGGCCTCCTCACAGGCTACACATAGAAATCATAGTGCATGAACCAAGATACCAACAACTAAAAACAGTACAATCACTTTCCTGTTCTTTCTCAGGCTCTCAAATACCAAATATAAGCCTAGTCTTTGCTTCCCACCCCTCCCCTTGTTCCCCACGTTGCTGTTCCCTCCCAATACAAATCAGCTTTTTTTCATGACACCCTGATTAAAAAAACATTCATGGAGATCTTCAACAAAATCTCTTGCCAATATTCTACTTATGGCACATTTCATGTTTAAGTTGCGTGGAGATTGAAGAAAACACTCAAAAAACTTCAGAAACCATTGGAAAAAAACCCCTCTAGTCCAACCTCCTACTCAAAACAGGTCAGGCCAAGTTCCTCTAAGCTTTACTCAGATGGAGCTTATAAATGTGCTCATTTGGAGACTACACCGCTTCTCTGAGCAACCTGTCCCAACAGTCAACTTTTCTTCAACCTTTATATTCAAGACTAATGAACCTATAAAGTTTCCAGGTTATAATTACCATTTCAAGAGATTGCACAAGTGATGTTTCTGGTCGCTGACGGGCAGGGGCAAGAACAGGTCTTGAAGGCTGTTGTGCAGCTGTCTGAGTGCTGCTGACAGTTTCAGCGGATCCTGATTTGGGGATTTGGTTTGACTCATTCAGTCTGCTGCTTCTCTCTCCAGCAATTAAGTCTCTGATTTTACGTAGTTGCTCAATCGAAGCTTCCTTAGGGAAAACCAGGTGAGTTTCTCCCTGAAATTTAGACAAATGAATTCAGCAGTTAATGCAGATCTAAGGTACTCAATGGTTTTTAAGTTAGCATGCTAAGACTTGGCAGGATTCAGCTTTCAGATTGGGTCCCTTCACAGCAGAAGCTTGAGGTCCCTCACAGCTTCAGAAGCCATTAGATTAAGAACTTACAGTCAATCTAGAGAAAAAAGGCCCATAATAACATGCTTTTGTTAGTAACTTATTCTGCAGAGCCACACATGGACTATGGACTATGTAGTTATGGTTTCGGAGAGAAAGCAGCAACAACAGAAATGAACAACAAATGCCCAGTTCTCACAGGACAGCAGTGAAATGCTTGGCAACACAGTAGGACAGCCAATGCTGGGAGAAGACCTTAGAATGGCACCTGCTGGGAATTCTCTTCCATACTAATATTTGTTAGGTTTAACTTTTCAGATAGGAAATATTATTTTTATTGAGACCTGCACCCAGGTTGATTTCTGGGCTCCTATTTTTGATTGTAACACGATTATTGGCAGCATAACAAAAAATCAGTAACTGTTACAGAAGCAAGTATCAGCATACTTAGCATAAAGAAATAGGTTGCTAAAAGCATGAATATCCTGAAGCATTTATACTTTAACAGTTTCAGTTTCTACCACTGAAACACTTCTATTTATTGAGGTGAGTAATTTGTTTATCCACAGCTACCTTAGGTCACCTATCATTGCAGATGCAGTGCTTCACATTAACACTTAAAATCACTGCAAAACTAAAAGGAATGTATCAATCTCCCAGAAGAGTGAGGAAATACATTCCTCATTTTTTAATTGAAAAAGTTTGCTTACTAAGCAGAGACAAAAGAAGGAACAATTTTAGTTAACCAGCTGAAGAGAAATTGGTGAGCTCCAGCCTTGACTGACACAATAACCATAAGACTGAGCCAACACATTCAGAGATCTGCTTGAGTGCTTCACTAGCTACACCAACCACCTCCTGGCTAAAATACATCATTAGAAGTCTCCTGAGCACCAGCATGAGAATAAATCCACAGACTGTTTCTCCCTCTGCAGTCACCACTTCTTTCAGCACACCTTTTTTTTTAATTAGAACAATTACACTAATTAACCCAAAGAGAAGGCAGAGGTCTCATGACAGCTTAGCCTAAGTAACAGAATATATGTACCCACAGAGAAGTGTGGCATCAAATAGACAAAGGAAAGCAAGAGCTTTGCACCATTAAACAAGAGCTGAGTTTCCACCCCAGGTCTCCAATAATTACAAAGGCTGCTTCTAGTTTAACAATCTTGGCAGTTTAAGTTCCACCAAGACAGGGACCACATCAGGACACAAAGCAATGTTCGAAATACATCTTTGTGACTGCAACAGAATCAAGATTCACTCCAAACTACTTCAGGATATAGTTTTCTAACTTTTTAAAATGAACTTTTAAAGACTCAGTCCTCCTACTACTACCTGAAGAGTCTACTGCCCTTTACTGCTGTCATGACAACACCAATACTTGTGCAGCTGCACTACAAACTACTCTGGTTTTGGTTTAGGGAATTGATTTTTAATCAAATCAGCTTCCCTTACCTAACCCACTATGGGGCCACAGAAGTCCTACTGACAGCAGGAACAAGGAGCAGAAATGCAGTGCTTTCTTTTTCTCTCTTCCAAATGACAGTTTCTACACACATTTACAATGTCTGATGGAGCAGTCTGATGTCCACCTAAAAGCGGGTTGCTACTAAGAGAGGGGGGTTTTAACCCTGCTTCCCACCATTTCCTTTGTGGAATGTATCCAGCCATTCAGCAAACCAGCAGTGCACCTGAGCAGCAGAAAACCAACCTTGTCACGGATTAGCTTAGCCCTAGCTCCACCAGATTTCTGAAGCAGCCTCATCTAAATTCGCTGTTGGTATCTGTGGATATTTGCAAACAAGGACTGAAAAAAGTAGCAATTGGCTTAAAATCTACTGCCTTGCAACTCGGGAAGCAGAAAAAAATCATCCATCAATTTTAGTGTGTAAACTGATGAAGACACCAGAAATTACTAAATTACACTCACCTCCTGAAACCCCATTTCAAATAAACATTCAACCGCTCCTCTGACAGGCAACAGCCTTGTGGAAAATGCTGGATTTCCAATCCGAATTAATCTATATTTTTCTTCATATGGATTCCTGAAGAAATAAAAGTCATAATTATGTTTGCAAATTAAATAAACACTTAAAAGTTAGGTAACTGCACTAACTCATAAGGGATTTTTAAAAAGTTTTGTTTCCTTCATACCATGTAGGCAGAACGTGAAGCCTACCTAAAACTTTTACTTAATTCTTGTCCTTTTGCACTTAAAGAGTTACAAACCGGTGCTAAATTTTAGTTCGCAACTTCAATTCATAAACACATGTTTTGTAGTGCTACCCAGCAGGGCTTAGTCTGCAGTGACACTCAGAGACAACTTCACATCCCCCTCTACCTGGTAGCACTCTAATTGAACTTCTCAATTTGATGCTGGATGGGCTTTAGTCCTACCATGGAAGTTGTGCTAAAGTGCCTGATACATGGGTGAAACAACTGCGGTTTCTGCTTCTCGAAGGGCTGCCTCTCACTTCCTATTTCCTCTTTCAACTTTTAAAAACCTCCTTCTCTCGCTTCTTCCTTTAAAAAGAGTCAGCCCAGGATGCACCATTCTCTGTCACACAGCAGCTTTTACAAGTATATATAGACAGGGAGGGGCAGCTCATACACCTCGAGATGCTGGAAGAAGACATCAAGGTCAATCACACATATTAGTGCGTATGTGCACCCTACAGGGCCACCTCCAGAAATTCAACTATAATTAACTCTTGGTACCAACCTTGCTAAGTCAGAAGGGAAGGGCAAGAGAAAAATCCAGAAAAAAAAAGAAGATCAAGTCAAAACGAAGTTAAAATCAAGTTAAAATCAGCATTACTTGTTATTACCTGCTTTTAGGTGAATAAATGCTTGCAAAATCAGGGACAACGCATGATTTTGCGTTTACCACAAAAAAAACGCCCCCCAAGCTTTCAAAACAAACCAATCAGCAAAAAACAAAGAAATAAAAATCCAGGACACTACATCTCTAGCTAAGTAACCTTATTTTTAAAACAACGACAAAAAGACGCGAGAAGCTTCAGAACTTCGACGTTACACAACAGAAGCAAAGCCGCCGCTCGGCGCCGGGGAGCGGCCGCGGGAACCCTGCGGCACTGCCCGCGGAACGAAGGCGGCGACCCGACTCACCGGAGGATGTTGTCGGCGTACGTGAGGAGCAGGCGCGACGCCTCCAGGAAGATCTCGCGGCCGTTCTGGCACAGCTCGCTCACGGCGGCGGAGCCCGGCGCGGACGACAGACCCAGCGCGGCCGCCATCGCTCCCCCCACCCAGCGGCACCGCCCGCCCCCGCCACTGCGCCAAACGCATGCGCAATGGGAGCGACGAGGTCACCGCCCTCCGCCGGGCAGCACCGCCCGCCCCATCACGCATGCGCGGGGGGAGCGGCGCGGTCACTGCGCGCAGACGCCGCACCCACAGCTCGTGCGTGAGGTGGGGGGGCCTTAAAGGGCCAGAGGGGGGTTAATACATTCCCGATCCCCCAGTGCAGCGGGATCTCCCGGTCACACCACGTTGTCCCGAACTAGGTTCTTTCTCCCGGTGTGCAAGAGGCCGATCCACACACGGAGTGGATGTATTTGATTTATTTACAGTTCTGCTCAGAAAGGGGTGCTGCGTGGCAAATCCACAAAGCCGGCACGACGACTACCAAAACTTTTCGCTATTTATACATGTTAGCGAACAAAGGCATTAATGTTCATTGGCGGTAATTTACCTAGTTCTCTTATTAATTAGGCTTCTATTGGTTGAGTTTTTTCCTTATCTAGGGGGTTCTGCCAAATGTCCTTGTGGGCAGTAAATTCTGCATTCTTTGTGTCCACTACCAGTGGTACATCCTTCTTCCCATGCTTTGTTAACCTTTCCCTAGGTCTGAGATCATTGAAACATGTCGAGCCCTAAACCTTAACAAAGCAATTCTTTCAACAAGCAATTTTTCTTTCTGACACCTGGACCATCACTTAGAGCTTGATTAAATCTCCTTTCTTGTTGATTCGGCTTGAAAGTAGACAAAGATCAAACATCAAAAAACATCCTGTCCTAAAAAAATTTTTACATATTCCACATTTTGAAACATCAGGAGCCCCTTGGCAGGCAGTAACATCCTCAAGGATATAAATCTCCTTCTCTACTGCCCTGGCTTGGCAATGCTCTCTGATGGTGCCAAACCTTCAGCCTCACCTGGGCTACCTGGGTGGAATACCACTGAAGCAACTCGCTCCTGCCCCAACACCTCGCCCAGCACTACCCAAAGTCTGTTCCAGCAAAGCTAAAAAGCCCTGGTTGGCTGCTTCTAGACATTTGTGCTACCAGTGAAAGAACTGCGATGAAGAACCTTGGACACAAAGACTGGTGAGGCTTTGCTTTCTTAGGAATGCAGATTTAAAGAGTTCCAAGCAAAAGAGGCCTTTGAAATTCAGCCTGATTTTGCAGCTGACATTACATTCTAGCTCTGCTGTCTGCTTCTGACAGGTCACTGCTCAGCTTCTGTGATTTTTTAAAGGAAGTGGTACATATCCCTCACAAAAGCTGAGATTTAACACTGGGCAATTCACTTTTGCTGAGACTGCACTTATTGTTCCTACTAGTATTGTTGAAAAAAGTTACTAACACAGCCCTCAGAATCATGAAATTGGTACCAAAGTAATAAAATTTTAATTTAAGATGATGTTCCTTGGCTGCTGCTTCAGCTTTTAACTTCCTTTCCATGTCTTTCACATAGTTATGTGGCTCTGAATGTTGGCTGCGCTCTGAAATTTAATGATTAACTAAATTGCTATATGTGTAACAAAAGTATATAATGCATATAAGTATAGCATTTGTAAATAGTGCTTTGGAAGTACTTATAGGAAAGCTGTATGAAAATTGAGAAGACCAAGTGCCAACTTCCAACAAATTACTAACACACAAATGTCCAAGGAATATTATTTCTAAAGGGAAATTAAATACAGATGCTTCATTTAAAAATAGTAGTTTTTTTCTATACTAAGTACTTCATTTCCCTCCTTTTTGGCATCTAGGTTTTTTTTTTTTCCTTTTTTACTGCAGTAGGTGCTTCATTAATGTGCTATGGTTTGTATTTAGAAGTAGCTGTGATTGCAGCTAAGAAGCATCATCGTATTGTGTGTAAGTAAACAGATTTCAGTTTTCTTACTGCCCTACACTATAAAAGGTATCACCTGACAAGTAAACTCCCCATTTATGTAATTAATTCATGTCTCTGTTGATGAGACTTTGACACACATTTTATGGTCTGCCATGGTAGCTTCTCAGTCTTCGTGTATTTTAAGTGAGATAGCAGTGTCCTAAGTAAAAATCTAGTTGTTCGTACATGTCATTTCAGGCACAGCTTGGTCTCAATTCAGATCATCCATTCTTGCAGCTGGAAGCAGCAACCACAAATAGTTTACTCGTGTGCATTGGTGCTGTTGGCATATTTGTACCTGTATTCTCAAGACTCTGCTGTAAAGCCAGTGATCATTTAGTCTTTGTCTTCTCTACCAGCATTTCAGAATCCGTGAGGAGGAGCACTTTCAAGAAATCATTTAGACTGGAAAAGATCTTTACTATCACTGAGTCCAGTGCTGTCAAGTCCACCACTAAACCATGTCCCCAAATGTCACGTCTGCACATCTTTTAAACACCCCCAGGGACGGTGACTCCACCACTTCCCTCGGCAGCCTGGTCAAATGCTAGACAACTGCTTCCAGTGAAGAAAACGTTCCTAATATCCAATCTAAACCTCCCCTGGCACAACTTGAGGCCATTTCCTCTGGTTCTGTCACTTGTTACCTGGGAGAATGTGAAACAGACTCCCACCTGTCTACAGCCTCTATTCAAACAGCTGCAGAGAGCGATAAGGTCTTGCGTATTACTCCACCGGAGACCGTGTGTTTGTTTGAGAGGGGGTTTCCTTACTCTTCCTTTGCGTGTTTAATCACGCGGTTTGGGAAGGAAATGATAACCTCGCCTTTTCCAGCTCCCTGGGTTATTTACACCACCTCGCTCCCCACCCGCCTACACCGCGAGGCGGGGCCAGACGAGAGGAAGCGCCGCTGGGCCGCGCGTACCTCCTCCTCTTCCCCCCCCCCCGGCCTGCCGCGTGGTGCGGCCCCGCGCCGCCGGAACGGGAGCGGGAGGCAGAGCGAACCATCGCGGAGCGGGGGGGGGAGCCCGGGCGGCGGAGGTACCGCTGAGGCGGAGGGCGGTGGGGACCGCGGGGGAAGCCGCTCCCAGCGGGGCGGGGCGGCAATGGCGGCGGAGGGCAGTGCGTTTGGGCCAGGGTTTGACTGCTGATGTAGGCATTAAAAGTAGTCACTACCCTTTGAACAGCCGGGGCCGTCCGGTAATGCTTGTTTCCGGGGGAAGTTGCCCCGCGCCTGGTTTTCCCGCAGAGCAGGTATCGGGCATTGCTTGGGTTAAACAGGACGGCTTGGCACCTGGCACCGGGTGACGGCGTGGGGATGTGGGACGCGCTGCTTTACAGAGCTCTGCAGTCATAGGTGTATGCACACACACATATATGTATACACGCATATATGTACACACGCACACATATACGTTATCATGCATTTATATATATAATTATAAATAATACGTTATACATCACATTGTATATGCTATACTATATATAACAGATATTTAGGATATATGGATATACATGTTATACGTTATGTAATATATACATATAATACTGCAGAGCTCTATTATATATGTTATATATAGTACATATTTATATGTACTATATGTTGTATATGTTACGTATATAATGTATTATATACTATATATAGTAACATATATATAGTATGTATATATTGTATACCTGTATTTATATATACTGGCTCTCTTTATAAAGGCCAGGCTAACTGGCTTAGCTAAAATGGCAGATTTGGGGCAGATTTGGGTCAGGGTAAGGATGCCCTAAACCAGGCATCCTTAAAAAAAGAATTTTGTTTCATTATAATTATTTTTTAAAAAATAGTTACACAAAATATATACAAAATTTAATCTATAATTATTTATTAATTTTATTCCTCATCCCTGAAAGTGTACAAGGCAAGGCTGGATGAGGCTTTGAGCAACACGTTCTAGTGAGAGGTGTCCCTGCAGCAGGGTTGGAACTAGATGATCTTTAAGTCCTTTCCAACCCAGGCCATTCTATGATTCTGTGATATTCTTTATTATCGCTGTTGCGTACTTGTGCTGCCACAGCTCGGGGTGTTTTAGCAGGAGTGCGTTAGCCCAGCAGCCCCGTGTAGTCCCCATACAGCTCCCTATATTTTACCAAAGAGCTGGGGATGCCAAGTTGCCCTTTTTATGAGTCAAAAAGCAGGTGACCAGTTGCAGCCGGTATCGTAGGTGTTGACAGAGCTGTGCTGCAGCCACTGCCCCGTTCCAGCATGCCAAATGCGTGCAATTGGACCAACTCCGGACCTGGCAGTTGCCAAGGCAAGGGAGAGAGACTGCGGTGCAGTATGGCAGCATCACTGCTAGGCATGGTCCTCTTGTCCCACCTGAAGTATTCGTGCTCAGCAGTGGCCTTCTGCCATCGCTTGACATCCCTCTTGATATGTGGGGTGTGCCGATGGGAGGTGGTGGTGTAGCGCATCTTGCTCAAACCACTTCAGGTGCTGTCCCCTGACAGTGTAAATACCCAAGGCTGATAAGGGATAGATGGAGGTAGAAAGATGAGGACTCTTGTCCAAGCTATGTAATTACATTGGTGGCAGAACCAGGAAGAATTTATTGACTTCTATTCTGAGTTTTTGAGACCGTTCTGCCTGACATGAAGGTTGAGATAACAACATCTTTAACTTGGTAATGCTAGGACATACACTTTAAGGTGAACACACTTTGGCCCTTAGAAGAATGAAGCTGTTAATGTTCATTGTCCATACCTTCAGCCATCTGGTGGTTAAAGCCCTGGGGAGAGTTTTGCAGCAAAACCAGAGAGTGTGTTGCAGGCCACAGTAGTGCAAACTCATATTCATTAGCAGCTTAAGGTAGATGAGGCCACTAGAGGCATTCCCAAAGTGACTGTGTTTCTGTGCCTTGTCTATGATAACTCGTACTATTCCTGATTACAGACACAGAAACTACATCTCTTTCTACAGGTTTGAAAATAGGCTTTCTTGTAAAAAGCAAGTTATTAATTCATTGTACTTGGAATGTTTTCCACACTGGCTGTTTTATTGTTGTGTTTGTGTCTTCCCCCTCCAGTTACAGGAATGTGCTTGAAGTGATTATTGCCACCATGTTCTCACAGCACTCGCAGGATCTGTTAAAGGTTGCAAATCTTCATCTCCGGAGTCTGAATTTAAATCTACATTTACAAAACCACAGAAGAGCTTTCAGCAAGTCACTGCCTGCATGTCGAAGGAAAGTAGTGGTTACAGGTATTGGCTTAGTGTCCCCTCTTGGTGTGGGGACTCAGTTTGTGTGGAAGCACCTTCTTGAAGGAGGCAGTGGGATTACATCACTAGATGGGGAAGAATATGCAGGCATCCCATGTAGAGTGGCTGCTTGTGTGCCAAGGGGAAAAAAGGAGGGTCAGTTCAGTGAAGAAAGCTTTGTGTCAAAGTCAGAGATCAAATCCATGAGTTCTGCCACTGTGATGGCCATCGGTGCAGCAGAACTAGCAATGAAGGACTCCGGCTGGTCTCCCCAGTCTGAACAGGATCGCTTAAGTGCCGGTGTGGCAATTGGGATGGGAATGGTTCCACTGGAAGAAATTTCTGACACAGCTGCCTTATTTAAAACAAAGGGTTACAATAAGGTCAGCCCGTTTTTTGTGCCAAAGATTTTAGTTAATATGGCAGCAGGCCATATCAGCATTAAGTACCAACTGAAAGGGCCAAATCACGCTGTGTCAACCGCTTGTACCACAGGCGCACATGCAGTTGGAGACTCCTTTAGGTTTATTGCTGCTGGTGATGCTGATGTCATGTTGGCTGGAGGGACTGAGGCTTGCATTAGTCCTTTGTCTTTGGCTGGATTCGCAAGAGCTCGGGCCCTCAGCACGAGTTTTAACTCGAGCCCTAAAACGGCCTGTCGACCGTTTGATTCGAAGAGAGAAGGGTTTGTAATGGGAGAGGGTGCTGCTGTGCTGGTCTTGGAAGAGTATGGACACGCCGTACAAAGAGGTGCTAGGATCTATGCCGAAGTTTTAGGTTATGGACTGTCTGGTGATGCTTGCCACATAACAGCACCTAATCCAGAGGGAGATGGTGCGTTCAGGTAAGAACTCTATGTTGACTGTAATAGTTTCTTCATGTGTTAATTATAGTGGGTACATTTGTTTCTGTTACTGTGTGCTTTTCATAGAGAAAGGCTGTTCAATCTTGAATTAATATTACAAAAGCTTGAAAATCTGAAAAATGAAAGAGCTTCTGGTACTGTTGTTCCCCAATACTTTTTTTAGTAGCACGGTGAAGGCCAGTTTTTGCTAGAATCAGCCTTTTTTCATAGAGTTACAAAAACTTTCTCGTGTGAAAACATTTTGCTTTCGGTGTATACAGCTGTTCACATAAATAAGTCTCAATGGAAACCTCTTTTTTAAGATTTTTGTGGTGCAGTAGAACCTTTTTAGGTTCTCCTTCATCCTTTGTCCACGGAGAAGAGAGGCTGTCCCCTGCAAAAGCGTGTTATTTGTTGCAGGAAATCTCAGGTGGTGAAAACTGTAGAGCACTTGGAGGACCTGGTTTGTTAAAATATTCAGTAGTTCAGATGAAGAGCGTTGGTAGAGGGGCATAACAGAAATACACTTTAGTACTGCTTAGGGAAATGGTAAAGTTTCATCAATGTTTTTCTCATCAAAAACAGTTCACAAGTAGACGATACTTATCTAATCATTATCATTGACCTAATTAAATTGTTTGCTAAATTATGTATACCAGTTGGTGAGTTTTATGTAGGCTGAGTACTATTGCTGAGTTGACATTGGAATCTTTAGCAAAGGTTTAGTTTGCGTTATTCCAAACGTATGTGAATATTTAATATCAAAATTCAATATATCACTGCACAAATAGATCAAACTTCTTCATGGTATTGTAAAGCTGTGTTTGCATCTTTATTGGGTTAACAGATTTTTCTAGAAGTATAAATATACCATGTTTCCCTCTATGCTATTTGATTCGTATTTAATTGTTCTGCAGACTTAGGTATGAGATGAGTAATCAGAAGTGTCTTATCTCATATTTTCAGACTTACTTACCCTTGAGATGATATGGCAATATATTGTAACCGAATTTTTGTATATTTTATGATTGCAGTAGCATATAAATTAAATTCACAGTAGGAAGTAGTTGAAAGTTAATCTTGGTATCTCCAAAATGTTGCGCTTTTCCACCCTTGAGATGAGATAATACATTTTAATACCGTCTTCAAGCCAATATTTTGTTACTGCAGTGGTATATGGGTTAAATCTGGAATGTATATGCTTCTCTTACTTTTCTGTAGGAATTTTATTTACCACATCAGAAAAAAATCAGCAGAATATGTTTTTATCATCTTCTAATAACTACTTCAGTAGGAGGCTAATACATGTGTTGGAATAAACCAGCAGGAAAGGAGAGGCAAAGCCAGACTAAGGAGAGTGCATACAAAGATTGTCCTACACAAGTAATCTGGTATCTTCTTAAGTAAATATGTTTGTTGCAGATGACCTATTTAACTAAATTAATGTATCTCACGGTTGATCAGTAATCTTTTTTGCCTGAAAGTCGGCTCACTATCTAGCGACAGTGAGTGTCAGTGGCCTCCAATGTAAGCTAAACTGGATGCTTCTAAGGATAGAAGGCTGTACTAGAGACATTTAAATTTGTTTAGAAGCCTGTGTTATCTTTTTTTTTTTTGAGCTTCCTTTTATTTACTTATTTTTCATAAATTTCAAAAGAGTCAGTGGTCTTTTGCTCAGAGGCTCTTGGTTAAGTTGTATGTGCAAGGAAATGTCTGAGTAATTCCCTTCTTTCTGCTGGAAATCTGTGAGAAAATCACAGTATGGAGCTGTGGTGATCCTTATGTGTTTTTCATAAAAAAGCGTGTTTCATAGAGGCAGTCACAGTCCACAAGTTGTCAGGAGTCAAACAAAGCATACCATATTAGGGTAGAAGAGTGTGACTTTCAGTAAATTTCCTTATAAAATGAAATATAGGAATTTGTGCTATCTCCTAGACATTTTTGTAGTCTCTGGAAAGCATGCAAAAGAAGCTCATGAGGAGGATGACTGCAGATTTTTGCTTTAATTTCCCAATATTTTTGTTGGATAGAGCATACCTAAATTTTTGTAATAATGTCAGGTAGTTATTTCTCTCTCAAATATTTTCAAATTTTACACTGAAAAGGGTCTTTGACATAATAATGTAGTCTATAGAGATTGATTGTTTTAGCTTCTTTGTATTTTTCCCAACAGTGGAATTTTTAACAGCAAGTCTGATTTTATATTGGGCCTCACATCTACTACTTTTCTCTGGTAGCTAAATGTAGATGCTAATGTATTTAGTTAGATGAATTCATCTGTTGTCATTTACATCTTTGCTAAAGCAGATTTTTACATTTGATAAACATTTTTCTTTTGGTTTGTCCATTTGACAAAAATATACTGGGAAAGTCAGCATTCTGTTTTCTTTTTTTCCCCTAGGTGTATGTCTGCAGCAATAAAAGATTCTGGGATCAAACCTGAAGATGTAACATATGTCAATGCACATGCAACTTCTACACCTCTAGGAGATGCTGCTGAGAATCAAGCAATCAAGAGACTTTTTAAAGATCACTCACGTAATATTGCGGTTTCCTCAACAAAAGGAGCAACGGGACATCTCTTGGGGGCTGCAGGAGCTATTGAAGCAGCTTTTACTGCACTGTCCTGTTACCATGGAATTTTGCCACCTACTCTAAACTTACAGAAAACAGAGGCAGAGTTTGATCTCAATTACGTTCCATTAACTGCTCAGGAGTGGAAAACTGAAAAACGGCGTATAGCACTCACAAATTCGTTTGGTTTTGGTGGTACTAATGCAACTTTGTGCTTTGCAAGTGTTTAACTTATGCTGAGAATGTTGAGCAAAAATGGCACCAGTGATGATTTTCTGTACTTCTACCCTTGGTGTGTACTGTAATCTTTTCTCATCTTTGAGAGTTGCTCATTTGATGCATAAGAACTTTATTCACTCTAAAATTTACATCAGTAATTCTTTTAGAAAGAGGGAACTTCTTTTACTCATTTTAATAAAAATAAATAAAAGATCTGTTGTTTGTGTGGTGAAGAAGATTTTGTTCTTGACTAGAACAGGAGACGTGATTAAACTTCATTAGGATAGATTTTTGTATGTGTGTGACACAGAAATTGTTCAGAAACATTTATGCAAACGAGATGCTGGCTAACAAGCTAGAACTCCACACTTGGTGACTTAACTGCACGATGATACAAGGTTTATGACTGAGCTCCCCTTTGTTACCCCCTCCATATATAATTCTGCCTTTTTCTTCCTTGTACGTTGTCTCAAATATCATAGATTTTATGTGCATTCTTCCACACCAGTGGAAACTTGGAGAAACAAGGCGTCTTCTATGAAAACAAAACAAAAAAAAAACATATGCAAGAAACAAATCTGGGTCTTGTGTTGAGGAGGAGAAAGGGGAAGAAAGAGAACAGGAAAATTAAACTATACCTAAAGCTAACATAGTAATGGTGGTTTAGGTTTTTTCCTGCAAAAGAGCAAGTAAAGGACTTCAGCTATTCCTTCTGGCACCAGCCAGCATCTCAGCCAAGTACTGGCTTGATTCATAGTGCAGATGTGAGTGAAGCTGGATATCCCTGTTGATGGGTTAGTTCATTAAGAGACTTTTTACCGGTGTTCTTTTTGAAATTGTCAGTCTTAGCCTTTGACCCATGTAAGTGGAAACAAAGTAACTCACTGGATTTAAAATAAA